TAGGTCAGGCAAACGCCTACGATGCCGCAGCCTTGGTGTACTCGGTGTACCCTGCATGAGAGGAGGGATGGGCCCGTAGGCAGCAGAGGGGCCAATTGGTTAAACAAGGGAGCTTGAGGGCTGACATGCAAGCGCACTGGTTGCCGGAAGTGTATAACATCAAGGCTGAGCATACTTAGCAACCTTTGCAGTGACTTTACAGAATCTGCCCTGCTTTGTTCAGATGCCGGTCGGTGTGCTGGACGACGGTACCGGGACCTACGTAGCCGCACACCCGACATGCCTAACGTTGAGTAGGGTGGTTTGGGGAAGTGGAATGGAGGTTCTTCGGATGCTTCAAGGGCTCTTGACTCTCAGTTGCTTAAAGAGGGTGGACCACACAGCTGCCACTCATTCCATTTGTGGTTTCTAGGCTTCCCACAAACCTCAGCAATCTGAGTGCACGCAAGCAGTATGGAACGCATCGCCCTTCGGCATCATGCTCCCCTTTACCCCCCGCCAAACAACCAGGACTTTCCCATCCCCGCGCACAAGCTCCCTGCTTCTTGCCAGTTCTCTAAATTTGGGTCTCTGTCGGGCTTCCTATTTTCAGGAAGCCTCTGGTGCTCAGGGTAGAAAAAACGGGGCAACATTTGGAGAACCCCCCCCCCCCCCCCAAACCCTAAACCCTCAACCCTCAACCCTCAACCCTAAACCCTAAACCCTAAAACCCCAAAGCCTTAAACCCTAAAACTCTAAACCCTAAAGCCTTAAACCCTAAACCCCCCCCACCCCCACTTTGCCTTGGTTGAACGCCAGGCGGACATGGGCCTCACGAACGGCCCCTTGTCACTACCGGCCCCGGGCCTCACGGCCTTCATCCGTAACACGCAGAAGGTGCACCCAACAACCCAGCAACGCCCAATGCCGCCGGGGTTTAGGGCTTTAGGTTTTAGGGTTTAGAGGGCTTATAGGGTTCAGGGTTTGGGGGTTCAGGGGCTGAGGGTTTAGAGCAGCATGTCGGGGGGGGGGGGTCCAGCGAAACGTTTTTGCTGCTTTGCGTTTGGGAGCTTGCGAACTTGGATTGCCACAGCCCGCCCCGCCATGTCTGCTTCGTCTGGAACTCGCTGGCATGCGATAGCCATCAGGCACATGTGCAACAAGAACGAGGGGCCCAGATCCTACGAGTTTCATAGAAACCATAAACACAAAAGCCTTCCAGACCTCAGCCCTCCCAAGCCCTCCTAAGCCCTCCTCAGGCCTCCTCAGCCCTCCTAAGCCCTCCTAAGCCCTTCCTCTGACCCACCTTGACGTCGACGCAGATCACAGAACATTAGAGCCATGATTTCGAAACCCCAAGTCCCATCCCAACTCCTAATGTCCTGAGAATCTCCTTTGCTGTTTCCAACTCTCCCCACATCTGTCTGTGGACGCCTTCGCTGCCATGGCAGCAGTGACCCAGGCTGGGGCCCCGGTAATCTTCAAAGGCGGTGCTTTCTGAAGGGTCATGGTGTTGTATCCTTGTGCTCGTACCATCGGCAGACTTTATGTTGTTCGAAGCTTGCAACTTAGTATTGTGCTTGCGCATGGTCACCATGAGTACGGGCATCTCCTCTGACTTTGTAGCTGCGGTTCTGACGCGGCTCTCGTTGCTTGTACTGCGTCGACTCTACGACATGATCGCGAGGATACTGCCCATTCCTCGTGAAATCGCTGCGCTTTCTTTGGCCACCTTCTTGCCCAACTTGTCGGCAGAGAAATGGCGCCCCCCAGCAAGTCTCAAGTCACCCCTAAGCCCCGAACCCCAAAGCCCCCCGCAATGCCAACAAAGACCCGGGTGACACTGAGGCCTCGCGGTCCCGCTTTCGGGATCTGCTGTCGGCGGAGGGGTCCGAGCTCCTGGAGTGTTTCGGGATGAGGGTGTAGACTTCAGAGGTTCAGGGTGTTCAGGGGGTTCAGAGGGGTTCAGAGAAAGTCAGGGTTCGAGGGTTGAGAGGCTCGGGTGTTTTGGTGTCGGGGCTAGGAGTTTAGCCTTCAGATGTGTAGGCATCAGAGGTTCAGGATTCAGGCTTGAGGGGTTTAGGATTCTGAGGGTCATGGTTCAGAGATTTGGGCTCCGCAGGTTGAGGGCCAATGTCGATAGGTTTAGGTCGGCCTTCCTCACCTTTGTCAGTTTCTTTTTGCGGACAGGCAAGAAAGCAGGCAGCAAAGGTGTCAGATAGACAAACCAGGAAGCAAACGAGCGTCCGACAGACAGACAAACAAGCAAGAAAGCAAAGAAGTGGCGGATGTATCGGTCTTCGTGTCTTTTCTGTATCAAGTTGATGCACTCCATGGACGTTCGGGACCTGACCTGCTTAGCTTGAGCGAGCCGGCCTCGAGCTGACCTCCACCCCAAACGGCCCTAGGCCCGAAAGTGTTATCTGATGCACGAAATTGTGAGAATCCTCAACCCTTGGTTGCGAAGTCTCAGGAACCGTAGCCCGACCTCCAGCGTTGGGTGGCCCAGACGGGTCTGCCGTCGTTCTTCTAGTCACTGGCAACTGTGGGGATGAGGGTTTAGGATGCTCACAGCCCAGAGGTTCAGGGTGGCTTCTGACTGCTAGACATTTCTGGGAAGTCGTTCCGTCTCATCGCTGAGTGTGACAGTGCAAGTTCACAAACCGTAGTCCCGGGTGCTTTGTCTTGCGGACGGTAAGTAAGAGTCGCATTGACCAGGGCTGCGTCCCACTACGCTTGGCTCCGCACTCTCTCTCTCTCTCTTTCTCTCTGTCCTCCCTCTCCTCCCTCCCTCCCTCCCTCTCTCTCTCTCTCTCTGGCTGTCTTTCGGGGCTTTTCTTGCTTTCCATGCTCCTGGCCTCCCCACTGCAGCCATCTTCGGCCGTGTCCCAGGTGCAGTCGTTTCGCTCTGGCACGTCGTCTCTACCACGGACGGAGGCTCGAAGGCAGCCGGCTCAGTTGGGAGACAGTCCATGGCGAGCCGATCGCAAGGTTTTGGGTAGTCTCAGAGGCTTGAGAAGCAGCGCAAGGGGGTTCAACCAGTAGTGCATCTTGCAGTTGAGCTATCAGATGTTTCCTTCGTGTGTGCTAGGGAGCAGGACATCGACCACATCATGGCCCAGTTCATCCAGGAGCAACGGCAAAGATCCCCTGATGCAAAGTGATGACAAGAAGACCAAGGGGTCTGTCCCAAAAGCATCATTGGGTTGGAGCGCCTCTTGTCAGGAGTATCCCCTCCTGGCCAGTTCCGTCTCCATGGAGACTCCCGGAATCTGCCGGAGTCCTGGGGATGTGTGAAAGCTGCTGAAGATCTGTTATGCATGACCTGTGTTGCATGAGCTGTTGCATGCTAATTCAGATGCTTTCCGCTGCGCCAACCGGTTGCAGGGTTCGTGCTGGGCCGACAAGTGCACCGGGTGCAGATCCCAGTGTGCAGCATCGTTGACTTGACGCATTCTTTCAGTGGCCGGCGGTCAGTCTCTGCATGGAATTCAGTCCCGTGGCAACCCAGAAACTGAAGCGACAGAGTAGGAAAGGAAAGCTAAACCCAACCTCGTGCCGCGCAGATCCGGAATGAATCGCCTTGGAAGGCGCCAGGGGAGTGATGGTGGCAGAGCGTATTTTGAGCAAGCAGGGTGGGCAGGGTGGCTGTAATCGCCATGACAGTGGAGTTTTATGCGCGTCAGAGAGCATCTTCCAACTCGTACCTGCCTTGCCAGCGCGTTCTCGTCGACAATGTCCGGCGACCGCTTGGTGACGTCCTGGAGGCTGCAGCAACTCCATTGTTGCCTGTATAGTCATCCCGTGGCATCCCGCGGCACTTTCAAGGGATCCGTCCTTGGTCGCATTCAGAATGCCCTGCAGTCAGTGGGCAGGTGCCGAAAATCCGTCTTCGATTGGAGAATACACGCTTTCGTAAGCGCACTACTAAATTCACTTCCCAGCCGTCCTGACACTACCACTGCCTTGAGAGCTGGCCCTGCCAACAGGAAGTGCTGAAAGAGCACCAGCTGGAGATGCTGATGGAGGTCCCGTGAGTCGCGCTTGAACATATCAGCCCCCTAGTCTTCAGGATCATTTGTGACCTTTGTGCTTGCGGCATATCTGTGCTCGAACCCCCCAAGAAACAAAAATCCTGAATCCCCTGAAGCGGCCTTGAAGCCCCTGAGTTGACTCCTGAAGCTCGCTTTACAACTGACCTCAACCTTGGTTGGCCTCCCCGGGGGTTTCGCGAATTTTCTAAACCCTGAGCCCTGAACCCTAAGCAAGGAGTTTCGCATCTTGGAGGGTTATAAAGGGGAGACGGTCCCCCCTCTCTTTTGGGAAGATGTCCCACTCCGCAGGCTCAGGCGGAGAGGAGTCGGCGCCTGCTGCAGTCCCACTTTCAGCGGCAGGAGCCATTTTCTTAGGGTATAGGGGTTTAGGGGTTTAGAGGTTTAGGAGTTTAGAGATTAGGGTTTTGGGGTTTGGGGTTTAGGGTTTGCGACCCAAAGCCGCCTAAATCGGAGACCCGAAATCTCTTTGTTGCGCTTAAGCCTTGTAAGCCGAACCTCCCAAGCCTAAACTCAAAACAAGCCCTTGGCTCAAAATCGCTGAAAGCAAGGGAGCCTTCCCTGCGGCCGGCCAGGAACGAAACGAGGTGCAGCGCCTTCTGCGTGCTGGCCTCCAGGCTTTCGAGGCGGCTTGGTGGCCCCATTGGAGCCCCATTGGTCCCAAACTAAATCTTCCAAGCCCATGATCGTTGTTGGCCAAAGCTCTGTAAACACGCTGAATGTCCAGAAGCCCTTAAAGCTCTGTAAATACACTGAACTCTTGACAAACTTTTGCACTTCGTGGGAGGGTGCGGCGTCTCGCTCACGCCTTGCAGCTGACCTGGCCGGTGCCTCAATGTTCGAAGGCAGCATGGCGTCGGGTCTGAAGTTCGTGTGGGGTTCGTTCGTCGTTTGGATCGTTTCTGCCATGAGGCCTCGACTCCAAATGCAGGGAAGTAGGAGTCCTTGCTCTTCCTGCTTTCCCAAGCCATGCGCCTGCCATGTGTGCTGCTGGCTGGCGCGGTGGGGGCTGCGCGAGGCCGAACCCTGAACTGACCTGGCACACCAAACGCATTGGCACGCTCCTATGGATGAAGTACTAAACACTTACAAGACTTTCAAGACCAATCACTCCCAAAACAAAAGGAAGAGAACCGAACAGCCAAGAAGCATCGAAGTTGGCAGAGCAGTGAAGAGCCAGGTGTAGAGCTTGGTCCCAACTGGGCCGGGGTGAACTCCTTCTTCGCGCATGCGCTGCCGACCACAGGCCTTGGGCGCTCGAGGGCTGAGGGTTGATAGATGCTGGCGTGTTTGTATACATTTCACGGTGTTTCGCGGTTGTGTCTACTACGACCACTGTGAAAACGGACTGCTCACTGATGCGGTAGGCTCATGCAAGAAGTGGTAGTGGAATCAGGTCCGTCCAACCGCACGGCCTACCTCGACAGCATGAGGCAGCAAATCACAGTTCTCGATCCAGAATGCGTGGCCTGGCATGTCTTCAGCTGGCCATATGCAGGCAAGCTGGACTTCGGGTGCTCCGCATCTTCATCAGCGCAACCGACGAGGACTACAAGAGCAGCGGCTCCCAGGAACGGGTGTGCCACACGTGCGCACACATGCAAGGGGCTTTGTCCTGGACAGTCTGTCAGGCTGTGGATGACATCGAGACCAAGCAGGTTGGTACCTATGATGACCGCATCTTGACCCTTGTTGATGACTTGATGCTCGAGGCTCCGCTTGCTGTATGTTGGGACTTTCAAGCATGGAGAGCCTTGCCCCTTCGGGGTGTGCCAGGCGCACGAGCGGGGCATCAAGCTGCTTGGCCCGAAGCAGTAGGGGTGCGTGTTTCTTTGTTTTGTTTTGTGGGCATCAGAAGGCTGGACATTGCGATGCATGACCGCTACTCCTTGGGCTGTTGGCGTGCAGACGCTTATGTAGCCTGGCAGATTAAGCACACCGAATCACTGAGGAGTTGTGGGTGTCCGAGCGATTTCCCACTGCTGCAGCTTCAGGTGACGGCTTATAACTTGCCAAATGCCAATAGCACCTGCGACACGAAGAAGAACCAAGTGGAGCAGTTCTACACCGATCCTCATATACAGGTCGGTCTGCATGTGCTTCTTCTCAGTAGTAGTAAGAAATTGGTAGTTGTGTCAGAATACCCTCCCCCCCCCCTGAGCATGGTTGGTTGGGTAGGGCCCTTTTGACTTAACAGCAGCTACTTGCTGAGCTCTGTCCGTCTTACTTTATTGCAAGGACTCTGACAAGCTCAAGTTGATACGGGCAGCACGAGCTCGCCGGAAGCCTGCAAAACTAGCGGTGCATAGGTCCATGTAAGCCTGAACCCTGACCGCCCCAGAGCGTGTCATGGCTTTGGCTACATTTCGGTGCCTTCTGCTGCATGCACTGCTGCGCGTAGTGAGAGTTTCCTTCCAGAGTCGGTGCTGGAGAAGCCAGTGGTGCCGCTCCCCTGGAAGGCGGCGTTCGATGCGCGCCTGGTGCACATCCTACAGCACTGGACACTTCTTCCAATTCTCAGAGTCCTTTGTGAGGGTCGCTGGGGGGGTGGGGGGGGGGGGGGTGGGGGGTGGGTAACGGATTCGTTGTTTCGGGCTTGGGACCTAACAAGACCCAGGGAGATTCGGTTCAGCCAGATGCTTTCTTCGGCTTTCGCTCGGAAGCAAAGCCTACCACCACACTCAAGCTTGCAGGGGATCCAGCACAGCGCTCCGACTCAGAGCCCCCGAAAACCCTCGACGTGATCATGGGCGGGAACTCAGAAGGCCTCTTCAACCTCTAGCCAAGAAGGTTCATCCTCAAGGGATTTGAGGAGTGACGACTGAATCTCCAAAGACAGGCAAGAGGCAGAAACGTGCAAACACCAAGAACCTCTAGTGCCGAAGCCGAAGCCGAAGCCCGTGGGCTTCCTCGGACTTCCTGAAGGGCAAACCCTAAACTCGAAACAATGCAAATTGTACGTGATATCATTCTGAGTTTGCAAGTTTTGTTGTCGCAAAAGGCCAGCAAAACCGATTGTAAGCAACTTGATTCAAAATGTTGCGGAGGCAAAACGTTCAACATACCAAAACCTCTTGAGGCAGACTCGTCCAGGCCTGGAACGCTGAACAAGCTGGCACAAAGCATTGCCCACCAAAATTATTGCGGGTTACCAATCTGTTGCATATTTCCTATCCTCTCAGTATCAACCCTCTGTTGAGTCCTGGAGGGCTTTGGGCTCAGGTTCTATATGTCCAAGAATCCCTGAGCCCGAGATCCTAAAATTCCAAGCGCCCCAAGCGCCTTCCCAGGAACCCCCACTTCAACGCCTCCTGGGGGCAGCTCAAGGAGGCTTCTTCTATTTATATAGGGGTTTAGGGTTTAGGGTTTAGGGTTTAGGGTTTAGGGTTCAGGATTTGATTCTCGGAGGGGCTGGGAGTGAAGTCGAAACCGCTGATTTCCAGGCCTCCAACCCCACTTCAGCGAGGTTTAAAGTTTTCTAGAGCCCCTCGCCCGGCTTGAGCCCTTAGCTTCCCTGGTCCTCTTGAAGGTGGTCCTCTCCTTCGCCCCTGAGAATGAAGCCCAAGGGCACCTTGAGCCTGTTCCTCAGTGCCACGGGGGGTTGCAGGGGCTTTTCGCTTTTCATTCGGGTTTTCGGAGCTCGCTTTGTGTGCCTCACGAACCAGCAGAGGGCGAAGGGGTTTTGAGACGCAGCAGTTCCAGTCACAGCAAGCATTTCCTAGCGGCAGGCTGCAGGCATTGGCACGGTAGGCCTGCTACCAGTGCCATCACAACAGTTGACAGTAGTCATCCTCATCTTTAATGCAGCCTATCTTGTCTTACGATGTTTTGTCGAGCCAGGTCCGTGGACAAGGGCTGGTGGTGTCGCCGGGCCCAGGTCATGAAGGCGACGGTTTTTTTTGCTGGATGGAGAGTTCATCATGATGTTTTGCAGGAAAGGCCTGAAGAAGCTTGCGCCCAACGGAAGCCCTAACCATCATTTAGCCTGCATCGTCGTAACGTGCACCTCCCGCAAGCGGATGGATACCTTGGATGTTCACGGACCTGCCCCACCCGAAGGCCAACATGCACCCTGGCATAGCCATCTCCACTGGCGGCTCCATTGAGCTCACGGATGCGCTGTATCAGCAGCTTTATGCCTGTCCAGAGATTGGTGCCGCTTTGTGGCAAGGGGGCGAAGCCCGAACCCTATACCCTCAAATGGTCCACCAGTCGGTTCTTTTACAGCAACTGCTGTCTCAGCGTGGGAGTAGCTGACATGCCCGTAGTCTTCCGTTGCCCTTTAAATCAAAATCCCTCATATCGAATGCGGAGGTCATCGATATCCATACCTATACCACCGACGTCCAGAGTGTCAAGGATGTGCTGCAGATCTCGCTGACCTGGGCAGTGAGCCATGGAAAGCGAGTGAGGCTTCAGGAGTTTGGTTTCAAGGGGAATGACGACCTGAAAGCTCAGAACGTGTTCCCCCTCATTCATGCTGCCAGCGAGATTGGGATCCCCTTCATGCCGTGGGAGCTCTTACATCCAGAGAGCTCTACAGACTTCGAGTTCTGGAGAGAAGGGGGGTTCTGGCGTGGGCTGTCCGAGCTCAGCCACGCCGCGCAGCGCAACGCCACAATCCTCCCATGGCCAGAGCTGAGCCTCTCAAACGCGAGCATGCGGCTCAAGGCGAACTGGCTGCTTTGCATTGTGAACGAGGAGTGTGCTTCTGGTTGTTGCAGCAACGAGTGGAGCGACGACCACAAGTACAAGTGCACTCCGGGTGGTAGTCGGTGCACGGGCAACCGCCTTGCAGACTGGGTGTCCTGTACCCAAAACAGGGACTGCGCCAACGGGTGCTGCAGCAAAGAAAAGAGTGACGATGGCCAACACAAGTGCACGCCAGGTGGCACCCCGAGCCTTTGTGGTGATGCGGTTCTGAAAGATGGAGAGGCCTGCTCTTCCAACGGCAACGTGGCGTTCGTTTGGTGTACTAGCCTCCCGACAATTGTCGTGATAAGCGTGTCTTGATCTTACATATTTAGTATAATGTAAAACACCTGGCAACCCAGTGCAGCCCTGTGCAGCCCAAGCATCAAAGTAAGAACACAAGAGCCTGTTGACTTGCTATGTGCCTCCTCGTGGCGTTTCATGGCCCAGGCAACTGCGCCAGTGGCTGCTGCTCCAGCCAGCGGTGCGTGGCACGGGCCCTCCCAGCACACTGCAACGCGATGCACATCTCTCAGTCAGTCGTGCTAGAGAGGCCGTTTGCATCTTTATTCCTCTGAGAGCTGTGTGGCTGTCCGAGCCAAGAATCCCTACCTTCAAACGAAGGAAGGGAAGGAGCTGAACGGCTTGTATTTATGTGGCCGCATGGTACATAAGAACTGGCTGTGAGCCTGCGGACTTGTGTGAAAGTTCTAGGAACATACAAGCTATCGAGCAACGCACTCACAGGCAGCAACTTCACGACGTGGCGTGAGCTGCAAAGACCGGCTCATGATTGATTTGAAATCCAAGCACATGCGGATGTGCTGTGCCACGCGTTGCTTCCAGCTCTATGTGATGCAGCAAGCGATTACAAAAACGGACATGCACCAAGGCGAACTGATGCACGTCAGACTGCTCGATGTTGCCACATCTTGCGCTTTCGCAGCTTTTGTAGATGCGAGCCGACATAGATTGTTGCCATGGCGAGCCTACGTTTCGCGGTGTTGGGCAGCCTACTCCTGGCCGTGAGAGGCCTGGCGCTGAGCTTCCGGAGTCGAGTCTTGTTCAGGGGGGGCGATGGCAGTCACTTTGTTGCGCTGTTGTATGTGCTTTGGCTTGAGATCAGTCGCTGCTGTGATGGTTCCTGTGCTGCCCATGAGGCTATGCAGAACCTAATCGTAGCATTCGTTCGTAACGTTCATCAAATAAAGATGAAGGTGCAGAAGTGGGTGCCAACTGGGCGGGAGTGAACTCCTTCTTTGCCCATGCGCTGCCCAGTACAGGCCTGTATGTCTGTGATGTGTGGCACTTTTGCATATATTATTAATATATGATTAATATATTAATAGTATATTATTAAAGCTAATATACTATTCACATATTATTATTAGATTCGTGTTCCGTCAGCGTGTGTCTCCAGGCCCAGGCAGCCGTACAGCCTACTTGGACCACATGAGGCCGGGACACAACCCACTGTGGTTGGCCAGCAGCTGGAAACCCTTAAACCCCTTTACACCCTAAACCCTAAACCCTAAACCCTAAACCCTAAACCCTAAATCCTAAACCCTAAACCCTAAACCCTAAACCCTAAACCCTAAACCCTAAACCACCCTCAAACTGCAAAAGCCAAAAAGCCCTGCACCCCAGGGCAGCGGGGCTCCGTCTGCTTCGCATCTTCATCGTCTCTACCTCTGAAAACTACAAGAACAGCGGGTCGCAGGCCCGGCGAACATGGCATTGTATTCTTATTGTTCGTATGATTTTTCTGGTTCGTATTCCTACTCTTCGCACTGGTGGGTTCAGTATTGCCTAAACCCTAGACCTAAACCCTACGCCCTAAACCCTAAACCCTCAAACCTCAAATTTAAATGAAACGAGTACTTTTCAAAGTGCAAGTGCTATAGGGGAACAAAGAAGCATGCATTCAATCGTGGTTGTAGTTGTTGTTGCGGTTGTTGGTGGTCAGCCGTCTTCATCGTTTTGTTTTGTAGGGTGGTTGCAGGTTTCGGTGGTTTTCCGAGTTCAGGGCTTAGGGCTTAGGGCGCCTGGTGCGAAAAGGCGGTCGAGGACTTGGAGGCCAAACAAGTGGGTACGTACGACGACCGCATCCTCACCCTTATCGACGACTTGATGCTCGAGGCAAGATCAGCAAGAACTGGGCGGTGTGGAGAAGAAATGTCTGAAATATGTTTCTGACCGCGAAAGCAAGCATAGCACGAGAGGCAATGGCAGGCGTGTCGGGGGCATGGTGGTATCAGTCGTCGACAGAAGCAGAGCAATCATAATAGTTGCATCTGCATGGTAAGTTGAAATCGATACCCACCGGTCTCTCTCACGTTCCAAGATTTGCGAGAACTAGTTGTTGGTGCTACTGGCAATGCTCGCACAAGGCGCATGAGCGTGGAATCAAGCCGCTTGGTGTGCGGTTGAATCGACCCATTAGAAGGTGGTGAAGTTGAGTACTTACGCGGCCGTGTTCACGTCGTCAGGGGGTCGTGGTGAATGTTTACCACAGCGAGGCTTGACATTGCCATGCACGACCGCTACTCCCTGGGTTGCTGGAGAGCAGATGCCTACGTTCCTTGGCTCAGGTTATTCCGGTTTGCGAAATTTAGGGTGCATGCCAGTTTGCCCGTGGGATGGTGGGGAAGTTCTCCATTATGCAGCAAGAGTCATCTGGTCTTCCATTTGCTCAGGTAGGCAAGTACAACTTGCCAAATGCCTCCTGCTGCACATGCGTCGCCGTGAACAACCAAGTGGACCGCTTCTACACCGACCCGGACATCCAGGCACTGCAGCCAATAGCTGGCCAGTAGGCATGAGTTTGGGCTTTTGCCCTGGGGCATGGACAGGCCGGTGCATACTTTCGCAGCATATGAACGCCACACCGTCGACTAACATTTCTAAACATTCCTGGTGCTTTTGGTGGAACTGCGCTAAGTTTTCGGCCCCATGTCTGAGCCGCTCTTTCAAGGCGAAGTTCGATGCGCGCCTCGTGCACATCTTGCAGCACCGGAAACTTGGGAATTGCAAGTTGTTTACCAGTTGTGCTGGTCAACATATAGGGTTTACGCGAACCTGGGAACACTTCATCTGCAGTCCTGGCTATTCATCCAAGTGCTATTCAGTTCTCCGCACAGCCGGCTTCGGAATGCGTGTCAGGTGCGTGCAGAGTTCCTGAGCTGAACAGACCAGTGCTGCCCAGGAACCCCCACTTCGGCAAGACATGGGGCAACTTGCATGAGGCTGGCTTGTGAAATTCTTCCCTCGGCCCCAACAAGACCTGACCCTGGCGGTGCTCCCTGGGTTCGGCAGGTTGTCGCCTCTTTCGCGCCTCAGAATGAAGCTCAGGGCCATCTCCGGTGGGGGGCTTGAAACATCAGGATGTGCTGGGGCCGTCAGGGGTTCCGGTTTCGGGTTCGGACTTGCTGCTCCTTATCGCAGGGTTTCCTGCTTGCTGATCCCTCGAGGTCAGTCGACAAAGGCTGGTGGTGCCGTCGTGCACAGGTCATGAAGGCCAGGCCAGAACTGCCCCAGCATACTATCACCACTAGTGCGCACCGATCACCACCAGTACGCGCCGCCTCGGCCTCTGGTACAAACGATCATAGGGAGGTCTTGACGTTGCCATAGCGGGACCGAAAGGAGGTCCGAATATGAAGGTCTCTGTGGGATGGAAGGGCTGCAGGTGCCTGAAAGGGCCAAGGGAGGTCGTGAGTCGTCCACGGAGTCCATGCTGGCAGAGTCAGGAGGGGTCCATCGGGCCATAGTTTATATGGATCTTGGGTTTATCCAAGCATTCCCTAGAGGGTCCACACACAGCTAGATGATCCTTCGGGGGTTGGGTAGGTGGTCGTTCGCTGTCGTTCTGTGCCGTGCCGGCGAGGCTCACATGCACCCCAGCATCCCCATCTCCACTGGTGGTTCTGTCGACCTTGCAGACGCGCTCTATCAGCAGCTGTATGTCTGCCCTGAGATTGATGCCACTTGTCATTACCTGTCCTACTCATGGCAAGCCCTGAGCCCTGGACTCGGCCCCTTAGAGGCCTTAAGAAGCCCCAAGAATGTGCCACCCCCAAAACCTGAGTGTAGACTGTGCTCAGGTTGTGGACATCCACACTTACAGCACCGATGCTTGCGACATCAAGAAGATCTCTAAGATTGCGGCAACCTGGGCCGTGAGCCAAGGCAAGAGGGTGAGGTTGCAGGAGTTCGGCTATCAAGGAACAGACGCGCAAAAGGTCAGCACGGTGATGCCCATACTCCGTGCGGCAAGCGAACTGGGCATTCCATTCATGCCCTGGGAGCTCATGCACCCAGACAGCTTGGACTACGAGTTCTGGGTAGAAGGTGACTTCTGGCGCGGGCTTTCCTCGCAGAGCGAGGCTGCTCTGCAAACGGTTTCGCCCTTCTCTTGGCCCGAGCTGCCGAGCAGTCAGCAGCCTCGGCTGAAGGGCGACTGGTACTTCTGTCTTGTGAACGAGGAATGTGCTTCCGGCTGCTGCAGCAACGAGTGGAGCGACGACAACAAGTACAAGTGCACTCCGGGTGGCAGCCGGTGCACGGGCAACCGCCTTGATGACTGGGTCTTCTGTACCCAAAACAGCGACTGCGCCAACGGGTGCTGCAGCAAACAGTGGAGCGACGATGGCCAACACAAGTGCACGCCGGGCGGCACCCGAGCCTTTGCGGCGACGCGATTCTGAAAGATGGAGAGACCTGCGCTTCCAACAGTGGCTCGGCCTATGATCTGATTAGCTGATTGTGGTGTGCCACTTCCCATTGCCACCAGGACCCATTGGGCTCTTTATTTTTTCTCGTGACACACATCGCGTTACTAAGACGACTGCGCCAGCGGCTGCTGCACCGGCGTCTGCGTGGCCCAGGCTGCCCCGGCCCAGTGCAGCCAGGGCAGCCTTGGAAATCTCAATTGTAAGATATTGTAAGGCTGTAAGGATAGGCTGGGGTATACCAGGACTCAATTAGGAAATAGATCTTTCGGGTCTTCTTGAGCTTGAGGCACAGGGCGATGAGGCAGCCCAGAGGGGGAATCCACAGTTCTGATGAGCTCAGACGCTGGACCTTTTGTGTCGTGCCTGGATCCGACTTCAGAAGACTTCCGTTGCCTTTTGGTGCACGGGTCCCTTTGTGGAACATCACTCCCGGCTTGATGTTGGTGTGTCAGGCACATGGAGCATTCTCAACGGTACCGGCCGCGATTTTGAGACCGACACTGATCCGGTCGTAAAGCAGCAGCTGCACCTTTCTTCCCAGTATGCCCACAATCAATGCTCGCTTCCGCACATCGCAAACCTACGAAAGTTGCTCCCACCTAGCTCACCGTTTTGATGATTTGGGCTCACTGGGCGATCTCAGCAGCAATTCAGGCAAAGCCGACCCTGCATGGCGCACGACCGACCGGTCGCCAAGGGTGGCAGGTAGCATGCCAGGACATGGACGAGACGGGGGAGCCGTGAATGGGATCGGGGCTCCCATGGATCGTCCGTGCGTGCTCTTGGGGATCTCCCGGTGTCGTCCCGCAGGGGCAGAGGACACCCCTTGTACAGCTCCGGTGGACTTGTACAGACCGTTTGAAGGAGCGTGGACGGCCCAAGTCTTCCACAAAGCCTCGGTGTTCTGGTCCGAAGGTTGGTTTCTTGCAGCTGCAACACTGCGATGCACGGTTGCATACGGTTGCGATCGGACTTGATCCATGGTTTCTACGATCAAGCTTCTCTACTGGCGTCGGAACCTAGACTTCAAGCCTCAGACGTGCCGACTGCGGATCCCAGTCCCAAGCCCCAAGCCCCAACTACACTAGAAGAATGGAAACGCAAAAGCATCGCGCAATTACCTGTCATCAAATGTCAAGGGTCGGCACCGTAGTCCGTGGAAAAGCCCTTCGCAAGAACGCTGGGGTCAACAACCACGGTCCAGGCTTTAGATAAGCTGTTGAACTGATGCAGCCAGCTCTTTAGAAGCATCTGAACATGTCTGGGCCAAGGGAAACCGCACCGCCCAGCGGCAGTTGCGCAGCGCCTGGGCCGCGTGGACTGGGGTGGGGCGGGGGGTTGCTGCATGTGAGGGTTTCTGGGTTCAGGTGTTGAGCCCATCGGGGCTTGCAGGTCTTGAGGACTTTGGGCGCACTCTTTTGAGGATTGATGTGTTTTTCCTAATGAATCGCATCCATTGCCTGAGTCTCAAGCGTTCAGGCTGCATTACTGTGTGCCCATGGAGTGACACAGTGATGGAGGTCCGGGATGCGGTTCCGCCCGCAAGGAGCAGGGCTGGCAGGGACCAGACACGCAAGAATGACTGGCAGCGAGCATGTAGGGCGCTGGCAAGGGTGGAGGCTGCGTCGGCAGAGCCGAGCTTGAAGATGAAACGAACGGCAGTTGTGACTGCCGGACGCGGCGGGCACTGGCAAGAAGCCTTGGGGGTGTTTGCGCACGATGTAGATACTCAGAGGGATGTGCTCATGTACAATGTCACGATGACGGCGTGCGAAAAAGGGACGCAGTGGCTGAAGACGCTCCACCTGTTGTCGCAGTTAGGTCGAGACCATCTGCAATGTAGTATCGTCACGCATGGAGCTGCACTGAGTGCCTTCCAGCGAGCTGAAGATTGGAGCGCTGCAACGCTGTTATTCGGCGAGCTGGAGCAGAAGCAGTGTCCTGCGAATCTGATCATGTACAATGCAGCCATGGGAGCGTGTGGGGTTCGGTGGCGGCAGGCGGTGCAGCTCATGTCTGAGCTTTCCCGTGTTTCCCGTGTGGACCGGGACGTGGTGACATATACTTCCGCGATCAGCGCATGTGCGGCCGCACATCGCTGGCAAACTGCCCTTCATCTCTTGGCAGAGCTGCAAAACCAGCGCCTGGAGGAGGACATCGTGGTCCACAACTCCGTCATAAGCGCCTGCAGCTTGGGGCAACAGTGGCAGAGGTCTCTGTCCTTGCTTCAAGGGCTGGGCCACGCAAATGCCATCTCCTACGGAGCCACAGTCGCGGGATGCGAGAGATGTGGTTGTTGGCAGCAGGCGCTGGCTATTCTAAGAAGCATGTGGGAAGGATCGGTGCAAGGAAACGTGATTGTTCTCAACTCCGTGATTAGTGCCTGTGAGAAGGCAGGACAGTGGAAGGCAGCTTTGCAACTGCTGGGCGAGGTTGATGGCAGCAAGCTGCAGCCAGACATCATTACCTTCAACGCCGTTATCAGTGCCTGTGAAAACTGCAGTCGCTGGCAGCAAGCACTTCAGTCCTTTAGCCGCTTGCAGGAGCTACGACTCCAGGGCAGCATCGTCACCTACAGTGCCCTGATCAGCGCCTGCGGGAAAAGCAGCCGCTGGGAAGAAGCGATCCAGGTGCTTGCTGACCTGAGGAGCTCCAGGCTGGCCGGCAACACGTGTTCCGGCGTGAGAAGCTCAAGCTTTTTTTTTTTTTTTTCTTTTTGTTTTTTTTTTAAAATTTCGAGCCTGCAATCGGGTCAAAATATCTTGAACCCGAACACCATCGAAGCCCCCACCTGGCCCTTCCCACCCTACCCACGCACCGAGGGTTACCTTCACCTCGGCAATCTCTGCCTGCGGTTTGGGTCTCGAGTGGCAACCGGCGCTCTCCTTGCTGCAAGAGCTGCGCGCGGAAGGGGGCCGAGGCATCTCTGGGACCTTCGGGGCTTTTGGGGAACTTGGGTCGCCTTTGGGTTCAGAGTTCAGAGCTGCTGGCGCATTGCTAAGAGCTTCTAAGAGCTTCTAGGAGGTTTGCTGTGTGCCGGCTTTGTAGGATTTGGTGGATGCTTGGGGCTTGTGGGTGGTCGGGGAGACAAGTGGTTGGAGTTTAAGGCCTCCAAGGGTTTGTGCGGATTGCTGAGTGGTTTGAGTCGGTTTGAGAGTATCGCCTGATGCTGAAGCGTCCCCAACTCAAGGTTCGGGCAGCTTTGAGCAACGGTATAGAGGTGTGCAGTGCAAGAGTGTGGGCAATGCTTGAAACTTGAAACTAGGGTTCAGCTGCTTCAGCGCTCAGGGCACTCAGGGCACTCAGGGCATTCAGGGCACTCAGAGCACTTTGCCTGCACCAGCCTCTCTAAGGTAACGTGGTGACCTTCCTGGCAGCCCTTACACCGTGTGGCATGGTCCAGCGGTGGCGCCAAGCGATGTGCCTTGGCATTGGCCATAGCAAACAGCGAAACCGAACCCTGACCCGAGATCCTGAAACCTTAAATCCTTCACCCCCTCAAGCCCCAGGGAAGCCCCTACCTCTACTGTACCCTACCGCCCTGAACGGGCAGGCAGGTTCTGCAAGAGCTTCCAGCTGAGAATCTGGAGGTCTCCGTCCTGCCCGCAGGGGCCTGCGAGAAAGGTGGTCGCTGGTCGAAGGCGCCTCTTCGGGGATGGTAAGGCTGGTAAGGGGTGTGGTTGAAACTTCTTTGGGGTGTTGGGTTGGCGAGAAAATTAGGGTTTCCTTGGGTTGTGCCTTGGAAGATGGCCAGGCCTTGTCTTTATTCCGACAGCTGCGCCTGCAGATGCTGGAGTGCAGCACCGGTGTCCTGAATGCCGTTCTGAGTACCTGTGCCAGGAAAGGGCGGTGGCAGTGTGTTCTGCAAGCCCTTCCGGAGCTCGATTCTGGCCCTCCGGCCGACTCCATCACCTACGAGGCCATCTTCTCTGCTTGCGAGACTGGGGACCAGCGCTGGCTGTCTTCCACCTTATTCCCTGACGTTACGCGGCTGGCGCTGAGCCGATTAAGGGAAGCCATGGGCATTGGAGCACCTGACTGACAGCATCTGACAGCTATGCCTTGCTATGCCCGTGTTTCCGAAAAACGGGTTTCTGTTTCTACAAAGCGTGCGCATTCTCGTCTTCCTGACCTGTACGAGATGCGTCATCGTTGAAGAATACGTGCATGGTCTGGCAGGGGAACTCCTTGCTGCGTGGTTTTGGAGTTGAAAAAAAGGGTTCCTCGTTTGGACTCTCGCAAGCCCGCAGCCTTTCAGGGTCATGTAAGACTCGAGGTGCATGGCCACCCCCCAATCTTTCATCTTGTGCTCGAGGACTGGTGCGGTGTGGCAGTGGGACTCAGAGAAGCCTTGCAACTGCACATGCCAGCAGCTGGTGCTAGCAACTGTTTAACTTCTGTACTGTGGACAGTTGGCAATTAATAGCTTTTGCCATGAGGTGAGGAGCAAAAGAAAGGGCTCCGGCTTGCCACTGCAGGCACACGCTGTTTGCACGAGCCGGTGAGCAACGCACCCAAAGCTTGGAGAACCTCGCCGGGACCTCAGGCTTTGGGTGCTTTTGTTTCTGTTTCCTGCACTGCTCCCGTTCAAGGTTCAGAGCCGCGCTGCACCAGTCTTTCGCCAGGGTTGGGCACCCAGAGTGCTCCCAGCCATGTGAACGATCCCTAAGGAGCGCTTTGAGTGCTGCACATCCTTCTGGGGCTTTGAGTGTTTGAGTGCAGGAGTGGAGACCAAGTTGTTTGCCGTCTGATGGCTCAGACATGCCAATACACTTCACTACACAAGAGACTGCGATCGACAGCGTCTGGCTTCGCATTTGCTCGTAGACCAACCAGGATGTAGGGTAGCCAAAGCTTGGTGAGCTGCATCATGGGCTTGCGAGCTTGCTGCTCGGCAGCATTGAATTTGCGTTGGGTGGGGGAACATCTGCCCGGGTGAACGGTGATATTGTTTGGAAGACAGGTCCCTGCAGCCTTTGTACTGCATGCGCTTGTACCAACCTTGCAGAGAGACGCTTTCCGCTGCGAATTGTGTTGGCTCAGGCCTTTGCCGCCACAGACCAAGTCTTGTTACACCTAAGCATGGAATGCACACGAACTTGCTGGAGCACCGAGCATATGCCTCTTAATTTGCACAGACGCCCACTTGCGCTCTATCGCATGCAGCGCATGTGTTCTGTTGGGGTTCAGAGTCCGTCTGAAACTGACCTAGAAGCGATATGACCTTTCAGGGTTATATTCATCCGCACGTGCCACGCACTTGGCGCCCCCTCGTGTTCTGTGAATGGCAGTACCGAGCGCGCCAAATGGACAGAAGCCAGTGCAGGACTCAGGACAGTTGGCTGTTGGTCAAAATCCTGAGTCCGGGACATCTGCAACATGTGAACGTGAGTAAGCGAGCTTTGGCAAACATGACATATCATGCCTATAGATACACAATAGGCGCGAATATTCAGCAAAGGTGATCCTGCCCTCTTTTGAGAGAGACACAGAGAGAGGCGTTGTGCAACCACGCAGGTCGACTTCCAGAGCCATGACTCTGAGGCAGCGCGTCAGCCGGCAGCTGTTGCAGCTGCCTGCGGTGGCACTGTAGGGTTTAGGGTTTAGGGTTACGTTGTTAATCACTTCTGTTGCAGCAATGTCCGTTGGAACACCCCGATGCGGGCCCCTCCCACCCAAAGCAGTGGTTTGAAACCATAACGTATTGTGGACTCTGCACCCCTTTGCCTTGCCCCTTGCTTGCGGCGTACCCCCTGTGCAGGGCATGTGCGAGATCCGACACCAGGAGATCATGGCTCGCCTGGATGACCTGTTCCGGCGCCAGGAGATGTAGCCTGGACTCGGCATCAGAACACTCTGAGACCCCCCCCAGAAAATTCCCCAAACTCCAAGCTTCCCACACTGGGCTTCCCCTAAACGGCAAGCCCACAGCACCCCCCCCCCCCACCCCCACTCAAGAAAGCGCAGAGTAGAGTGGGGGACCGAGGCTCCTCCAAGGCAGGATGACGGACGCCTCGGATCTGAAGCTCACCCAGCATCTCGTTCAGCATCCTCATAAATCCTCATTGATCCTCTTCTTGTTTACACGGTTGAAGTTTTAGGGTTCCTTGGTGTGGTAGGATTTAGGGGGCTAGTAGGAATCATGCAGTAGGCCATGTAGACCCTAGACACTTGGTATCCTTGGCCCCGCAGCCCCAAGAAGATGCTGATCCTCAACGGCCCTGTGCACACCGACCCGCCGACTGAGGAGCCATCCGGCCGAGCCAGCACCGCATGCCTTTCAGACGCTCCACTCGCGGCATCTGGCTGGAGGTTTCCGGCAGGCTCAAGCAGGGCTTGAGGGGACCAGGGTTTTGGGTTTCGAGTTTGGAGTTGAGGGCTTAGGAAGCTTGGGGTTTTGGGCAAAAGCTTGCACGTAAGGGCCTGCGTGTTCTAAAGCTAGGGTCCCCTCTATTGGGGCTCCGTTTGGGTTGGTTGTTGCTGTGTACAACAGTACAAGCTACCAACAAGGGGGGGGGGGTTGATTTTTTGAGCAATCCCCGCATGACCCAGTCCGACGGTTTATGTGACATGGAGGCCCTAAAACCTAGAACCCTAAACGTGTAAACCCTGGACCATCCTAGACCCCCCTAAACCCTAAACCCTAAACCCTAAACCCTAAACCCTAAACCCTAAACCCTAAACCCTAAACCCCAAACCCTAAACCCTAAACCCTAAACCCTAAACCCTACACCCTAAACCCTAAACCCTAAACCCTAAACCCTAAACCCTAAACCCTAAACCCGAAACCCTAAAACCCTAAAACCCGAAGACCCTAAGACCCTTAAACCTAAATAACCTTAAATTCCCTACAGCCTCTGCGAAGCTCTGAGAAACAGCCTCCACATCGCCAGGAAGTGGGCGCCGACTCCTACGAGTTGGCGAAGGCCTTCGCCGAGCAACCCTCTAAAAACCCTCCGAAATGGGGGGGGGGGTGTAGGAAGGTAAGGGTACCTCATTGGGGTCGGGTTTAGGGTTTAGGGTTTCAATTTTGGGTAATATGGGTGTTTACGAAGTGAAGACACCCCTTGCAGGTCAGGGCTTAGTGTTGAATCAATCGGTTTTTCAGACGTTAAGTTGTGATACCCGGATGGATGAACAGCTAGTCGACCGGGATTCCTGATTCAGGAGCTTTCATACGCGCCAAAACCCGGCAGCCGCCGCGTGGGCCGAAACCGGAGCCTCGCCATTGAAAGTGAGGAAAACGGTCAGCACGTGGGGGGTTTACGATAATAGGGACCCAACAATCGACCCCAAATAGTAGGATCCCCTTATAAAAATGACTCAAAGAAGGTACCCCTAATTGCGGAAACCCCCATGTGTTCGAAGCAGGCTGTAGGAAAGGATGTCGTCAGTCGTCAGTGGCAGCACATTGACTCGGGGTAGCAGCGGGGCAGCAGTGGGCTGTTTCCATCCGGACTCATGTTGACATGACATCGTGGTGAGGCAGAGCAATTACAAGCCAGATGCCCGCCCGACGCCAACACAACAGCCACTTGTTCAGCAGTAGGGGTGTCAGGTTTCATCTTTGGATGCTTTAGTTTAGGATTCGCCCTTTGGTTCTTTTTTCTTCAGTGGGTTGGGTGCATGCAGACGTGGAGGTTTCCGAGCCCCAAGAACACTTTCAAACTTCTCATAGACACAAAACCCCAAAGTGGTTCACAGAGCTCCAACCACTCTCTTCTGTATTTCCTGAAGTGCCTACCGTCCAGGGTATTGTGAGAGTTTTGACGGGTCGTTGTGGGTGGAGGGGCTTGGGGCTACACCGCAGGCAAAGTGCCATCCCGCACCTCCCGACAAGCTGTGTGCAGCGGCTTGTCCGCTCGTGGGCCTTCGAAGCCTTCTTCGCTGCGGCGATCGCGCCCGGGGCTGCTTAGAAACCCTAAAACCCTATGAAAAGCTTCTTGGGTTCGGCAGGTTTCTGGGACTGGACACGATGTAGGAAGGTTGCAGCGCAGGGTCAAGTTGCTCAGGCCCTGGGCCACTCGAGAGGATGCATGGAGGTTACACCTGGGATGTGTGTGTGTGTGTGTGTGTGTATGTATGCATGCATGCATGCATGCATGTATGCATGCATGCATGCATGCATGCATGGATGTATGTATGTATGTATGTATGTTTCCATGTCCTACTGACAACTACTTGTAAACCTCTCAAGTCGGCTCTCGGAACTTTGCGGGATGCAGTGGGGAGCTCTAAGACCTGAGTCGCAAATAGCTCCAATAGCAATTTCTTTCAGGCTCTGCTCTTGCGATGCTCAGGAGTTGAGAGTTTCCGGGTATTTTTTGGGGTGCCGTGTATTTTGTGGATTCGAATCAAAGTTCAAAGTGGGCATCACAACCGCCACGCCCGAATCCCGAAGCCTGAGCCTCGAGCTCTGAACCCTAAAAACTTACGGTTGCGAATCGGGAATGGCGGAATGCGGCCTTTTGTAGTGCGACTACGTAATCGAGGCTGAGTGCATCTGGCCCGCGGCCAGATGCAGCTCAGCTCGCTTAGATGTTAACAAAACGAAGAAGCCAAAATGTCGCTGGCGAAAAAGTCGTCCGAACAGGACGACTTGAGCGAGCTCTGCTGCTTCGCACCCTTCTTTGTGAGAAAAGGTCAGATGAATGAAAAGCACCGAAACTACGCTTCGGTTAAACACCCTCAGGCCAGCAAATATCGTTATAGTCACTAGATTACTACTTTCAGCCCCTCCCTGGAACCAACAGCAAGTAAATTTCAATCCCTCCGGTCCGAAACCACAGACCCGGAGCCGCCACTGGGCAAACCCAGGTGACCAACACCATTATCCTGGGGGTGCAGACAGCCTGGATGTCCGAACACTTTCTCAGCGGGGTCCCTCCCATCTTCATCGTCCTGCAGGCGCCTAAGCCCTAAGCGCCCCAAACCTCAAGCCCTAAAGCCTATTATGCAAGGGTAACGGTTGCAGCCACCCCCATCTTCTTCAGTGTCTGCCATGGTTCTGCATTTCCTCCCTAGCCCAATGGCACACCCCCCATGTTCTTCGGTGTCTGCCATTTTCTACACTTCACACGCCAGCACACCCCGATCCTCATCGGCATCTGCCATTTCTACATTTCCCCCGGCCACGGTGCTTTCTTTTCCTTTTGACGGGGCGGCGGCGAGCCGCCCATCCGCGGGTTGGCGGGTTCGGCATCTTCCATTTTCTGCATTTCCCCCCCGGGAGGTGGCCTACGCCGTCCTTTTCACGGTCGAGCTGTGGCTGCGGATTTGGGCAGATGGGATGGCCGCCCTTTTCTGCTCCCAACATTGGCTTTGGAACCTGCTGCTCAGTTTGCTAAGGAGCTTCAAAGGTCCCAGTTTACCCTCGGAGCTATCAGCTTGACACAGAGTCTCTTGACGTTGAGGTTGGATGTATTTGTGGTCCTCACTTCCATATTCGAGTTGATCGTCCATGCCGCGAATGGTTTTCAGACAAATCCAGTGGCCTGGCTCTCCAAGCAGCCTATATGCGGGTAAGCAGGGTCATGCACAGGAGCTCTGCTCACGCGCACGCGCAGAAAGCAGATCAGCGAAACAGCTAAGACGTCCACAACCGCTCTCCGACTGGTGCGGATAATGAGCCTTGTCCGGCAAGGTTTTGAGGAAGTCAAAAGACGCATCACAGCAACATCATTTTAACGCTACGCGACCCGCCTCGGCCTGGCCCAGCGAAGCCCTGGTGGGGGGGGGTGGGGGGGTGTGGGGTGGGGGGTGGGGGGGTAGGGGGGGTGGGGGGGGTAGGGGGTGGGGGTTGGGTGAGGTGGGGTGTGCAAGAGGCATTGAGGAGGGGAGTAGAGGTGGGGTGCCTGCTTTGTGCTCCCCAACACCTGCGGCCCAA